TCGACGTGAAAGATGCATTATCAAATGCACCTTCAATATCAAGAAACGGTGCTAGTAGAATGTCCTTAGCCGCAAAGGATTTTTCTATTTTATTAATAAGAGTATGAAGAGCTGTTATTGTTGACTTGCCTGACTGGTAAGCAAATTGTGTCTTACATAATGGTTTATTAAGGAGTATTTCTGATTTGACATATTCATCTATGAGTTTTTCCATTAATTTCAAAAATATTGATGACAGGCTTATTGGTCTAAATGATTTTGGTAGAGATTTATCTCTTTTGTTCGCCTTTGATATGAATACCACTCGGACTTGTCTCCATTTTTTGGGATGTATCTCAATAAGAAACTAGACTTGAACAATTTAACTAAAACAGGAATTATTATAGATTTACAATTTTGAATATGTGCTGGAAAAATACCATCTGGGTCAGGGGATTTGAAAGAACTAAAAGAATCTATCGCCCATTCAAGTCTTGAGTTTGTAAATATTCTAATGGCAAAGTTTTCAGCCTCTTCATTTGACATTTCTAGCCCACATAGTGAGACATTTGTTTCGGTAGATCTATCACGTTCACCACGGTCTGAAGATGTGGCATTTTGCATGCAATCACGATTTTGTAGTTGATCATCAGTAGGAAGGGACCCTGGATAATGGGTTTGCATCATCAGTTCCAGAGTTTCTTTTGAGTTTTCAGTAAAATGTCCGCCAGTCTTTTTGAAAGTTCCAAGACCGTTAGAATGATCTTTTGAGAGAACTTTTTGAAGTCTTGCAGTTTCAGGAGTGTTTTCTATGTTTTCACACATGTGTCTCCAATCTTTTCGCTTGGATCTTCTTATTTCTCTGTTATATTCAGTTAACGCCTCTTTATATTGAGACCAGTTTGAAGTAAATTTTGCACGGTTGAATAGTTTCCTAGCTTTTTTCCGTAATTTTTCTAATCTATCATTCCACCAGGAAACATCTCTATTAGTCGAGCGCTCCTTTGTAGGACAACTGGCATTGTAGGCCTGATTCATGTTAGTTATTAAGTCAATAGCAACTTTTTCTAGCTTTGTAATGGTATCAATATTATTGAAAATGGGTTCATGTTGACTCTTCATAATTGTTCTATATAGTTCCCAATTTGTTTTACGAGGATCTTTATAAACATTTAACTTAGGAATGGAAGGTAATTTTTGCAGGACGCAGGTTTCTATGGAGCATTTCCAGACTTGACCTTCTAAGCTGAGAAGTAACATTGCAGGTTTTATCACGGTTTTATAGCATTCTACAAGTCTAAATCATGGTCTACAGAACTCTCATAAAAACAAAATTGTTACTTGGGAGTGTGGCCAGTGAACCGGAAAAACCGGGAAATATCCGGAAATTTGGAAAATTACTGGGAAAACCCGATAATGCCACGAAAAAGCATTGAACAATCAATAAACCTTAGAATACAGTGATTTGTTTACGTCCGAATTTCAGAATCAACTTGTGAAACAGAGCGAGTTTTTACCAAAAGAAAGACTGCATATTTTACATCAGTTATTCGTTTGTTTTCAGAATTAAATTACTCAGCAATATTGTTTACGAATTTTACGTATCTATTCCAATTTAATTTTTTGCATATTCATGATGCCGGACTTAAGAAACACAAATTTGTTAACTTAAACTGAACTAAAAATTATCCGGAAGTTTTTTAAGGTTTGATGTCGACATGAGATTCTTTTCAGAATTGCCAAGGTATTAATCCCAGAGTTACCTTGCTCAGAATTATTATGCAATTTTTCTTAAACATTCCAGGAAAATTTCACCGTAATCTCCTTGGAATTCCTTTGAAACTTTTCTATGAATTGCATGAGAACGCGATTCCTTTTAAAATCTTTTCAATATTTGATTTTTCTCTCTTCAGAAATCGTCCGTAGTTCTCCTTAGAAATCCCTTGGAATTTTCTTTATAAATCCTTGGAATCCTCTTCTGAATTTTCTTGAAATATTCATCAGTTTTGTAGTTAACCTCAGACTACGATTCCTTTGGTATTTTTCTCGGAATTCCTTAGTTTGTTTCCATGGAAGTTATCTCTTGAACACTATTTTAATTATGTTTATAATTCTATTTGAATTCTCATCAGAACTCTCGGATTGTTCATTAAATTTCACCTACTGTTCTACTCGCGGTCCCCATACAGTGCTTCTCAGAAACAGCTAGCAATTTTACTTGAAGTTCTTTCCTTTGTTCTCACCAGAAAACCATTATAATTTTCGTAAGAATTCCTTCGGGCTTCATCTCAGAATCATCTAAGAATTATGGTCAGAACTCCTTAAAATTTCACATGAATTCTCCTAAACTATTATTTCCTTGAATTCTCCTCAAAATTCCATAATTCTTCTCGTCAGAATTCTATCTTAAAATTGTTCGAATCCTGAAACTTTCCAAACGCCCTTAATATATTTTATTTTAACCTGAGATCTTGGAAATTTTTAGAAATTTCATATTTTGAGTATTTTTTTTTCAGCTCCAGATAGTTGAAAAATAAATCCGATTTGGTTTTTCCTTAATCCACCATCTCGATGATTTTTCGAAATCACAAATCTCAAAAATTTCGTGGTCTAAGACTATAATCAAATCCATAAACTTCGATTTTATTTTTTAAAAGGTTTCTGATAGTACGGACTGCAGAGTGTTTGCAAATTTCTTGCTCCGAGATCTATAATAATTTTTACTAGACCTCATACGTATCATGTTCAAGATATATTAATAAAATCATAAGTCAATCTCTTACTCTTGAATGTTTACAATTCTAATAAATAATTCAGCACGATAGCGTTTGGTTCAGTGAATCTTACTCAGTAAATTCTGAGACATTGGAAGAAATGAAGGTTTTTACAATCACTCTACAGTTAAGGATCACTTAGAGTATACTTACTTAAGAGATGAACTAGCCTATGGCTAAAAATCTCTATAATAAAGTATTAAAAAAAAAAAAAAAAGTATACTTACTGATTCATTATTATTTTTAGCTAACCCTGATAACTGTTACAGTACAACGGATATAATTAATCAAGGGGATGGGATTAGGGACATAATGAGCACACGGTGCGAATTGAGCACTCATAATTTTAATAAAACTATGCAATCTTAAACTTAATTTTTATTTTATTTTTTTTTAAATACTTTATTTGATAAGGCTCAACCGAATTAACTTTACAGAGCCGAGGATTCTTGTTCACTATACAATGCATTTAAAAATAATAGTCAACAGGTACAACACAATAAACATTTTATCTTCCGCTATCCAATAAGCCTCCTCCACCAGCACGGAAGCCGCTTCCAGTGGTTTCATTGTATGGCAGATTCACCAACGAGGGTCAGAGCGCTTCCATTGCAGCATTGGACGCAAAACGTGGTCAGCACTCACACACTCATCACGAAACGGTTGCTTTCCAAAGTCGACGATGCATCGACTGAAAGAACTGCTGATGAAGAACAATGAGGAGGACCACACAATGGTTGCTGCCGAGTAAACAGACGATCGCGTGACACACATTGAGAGTGGTCTGCTTCTGTCGACAGCCGAGTGAACACTGATCTTAAACTTAATATGATAATAATTATCTATTATTGAATAGAACTGTTTATTACCACTTTGAAATATGCAAATATATTGCAAAATGAAACATGATTCGCAGGTGATTTAATTATAATATAATTTGTTGATCTATTATTTTTGTAATGAAACATTATGTGTACATCAGCTCTCAGACTTAACACCCACTGACATTTTGTTTTGTTACTTTAATTGGGTTCTTTAATTTAGAAAAAAAAAAAAAAAAATCGGTTTTTATATATTATCTGAAAGAGGTTCGTTTTCCGAACACAGCGATATTTTTTTCGAGCCCACACACTTTCATGTCGATTTTTAAATCAAGATTTAAAGCAAAATAATAACTTCACTGTTTGACACTAAACTGACAAACTGACAGCTCGCTCCCATACAAAGTGACACCGAGGGGCGCTAATAAGGTGATTTTTGCACATGTAATCGTTCTTATTTAAAATAGTTCCAGTGTACCAAACTTGATGAAAATTTGGGTTTGGGTTCCCTTTTTCAATGCAGATTACGAATATGCATTTACCTCTATACACACTAAGATTTTTTTACAGGAGTCAGTATTTTTTTACTGGGTTTTTGAATTGCTGAAAAAGTCGGTAAAAATTCAAATGACCGTTATCCGTAAGGAATCAATGAAATCGACCAATTTTATTTTTTATCATTAAATGGGGTTAACATAACTAAGTATACACAAGTTCAGAACAAATTTTCTTATTAATAAATTTTCCACAGATTTTTAAACTTTTACCGAACAGTTCGCAATTCAAAAACTCAGTAAAACCGTACTGACTCGATTAGTGTGTACCCTTAAAGAACCCAATTGTAAAAAAACGCACTGTGACTTTTTCTTAATTAATTAGGGGTGAAATGAGCACCATTAGTAGGAGTAAAATGAGCAAAGTGATGATGCTGCGAATATACAAATGGAAATCCAAGGAAGGCAGGCACTATCAAATGGGACGGAACATCCACGAAACGAGCCGCCAAGGCCCATGGCATTCCAACACAGACGTATCTGGAGCAGAAGTGTCGTCGGGGCAGGAAGCGAAATAAATTCGTTCTTTCAAAGCTCGTTTCTTCTCCGCTAAAGAAAAAGAGCTAGGGTCCCATATTTTAAAACTAAATGATCACTACCCGCGAAACCTTGCATATCATCAACTGGCGGAACTCAACGGAAAAGTCCATGTCTTCAACACCGAGATGCAGCTCGCTGATTGGGATTAACTGCATGGTTTCGAAACTTTCGTTACGCGCTCCTGGTGAATCTATGAAAATAGAGATGTAATTGTAATATGCCTCGTAAAATTACGCAATCTACAGTATAACTATTAGTTATAATTAGTTATTAACTATGTGCAGCTGTTTTGTTGTGTGACCTACCCCATTGTATATGTAGAACTTTTGAGTCAATCCAGCTAATCAAGTGATCCACGATTTTGAGCTCTGTCAAAAGCGTATCCAAAGCGGATCCAAATCTCTTCAAAATTTTCCGTGAATAATTAAAATTAGAAAAATGTCATTCCCATCTATTCCTCACTGCAAGCTGTGCGCTTCGGACAGTTTGGAATCCTGTGAACCACCGTACCCCAGTATCGAACCCATCAAACCCCCACGACCATCAGCCACACCGGACCATCATGGAATCCTCCATGAGCTGACATTTCATGCAGTTCATTCACGGCTATTGGAGATTGACCTCAAAATGAGCCGGCTGGAATCCAACTTCCACGATGCCTTCTCCCGGCTGGAATCCAGCGTGGCCAGATGTCACCGAACCTTGGAACAGGTTAACGAATCACTGTGTAGCAGCTTAAATAGCGCGGTTCCAGGAGCATCGTCTTCACCACGGGACATGGTTGTCAAAATGAAATTTGGACGGAAAGAGCAGAAGCACCTGGCGCCGCATTCGATTAGCGACGCAAATCAAGTGGAACAGTTTTTGACCAGTCCTTCAACTTCGTTACGAGGAAACATAGTGGAACGAAGACGAAGCAGTGTTCTGTCCAGAATCAAGCATCATGTCAAAGGCGGTAAGATGGAAAAGTATTTCAGGCTGAATTGGGTACCTAGTTTCATGACAAACATTCAGCTTTCAGTTTACCGTGCGTCGTGACGCCCGTCTTTGAAATCTATCCGCCAAACATAAACTCCAAAGCTGTGAAACATCCACCACCCGCCGCCATGACAACGGACTTGCAACCTCAGTAGGCATTGAAGCATAATTTTTCAACCTTGCAGAGATTGGCAGCAAAATTTCAAGTGTCCTTAAAAATCGTTTAAAAAATATAGAAAATTTGAAAATCCAAGAAAAATGTCCTTGCAACAAATCTTTTTCAATGAGAATTTAAATTCTAGTGAATCGCTAGGGGCCTCAGAGTTGATCGCTCCAAGGAAAATCGTTCCTCTAACGGAAGAATTGCTCCACGAGAAACATTGTACCATTTCGGCGGATGTGCGAGAACAGCTCAGCTCCTTCGAACAGCGGCTGCTCAACGTTGAAACAAAGATTGAACGAATGTACGGAATCTGCGAAGAATGCACCCAAAGCGTTCGGGTAGAATTCGGTTCGGAACTGGGAAGCGTGGTGAGTTGCCTCTCACCGTCTGGAAGTGAAGAGGAACAAGAACGGGAAATCTTCAAATATATCATGGAAGAAGGAGAAGAAGTAGAATACAACAAGGAAGTTTTGGTTGCTCCGACGAACTCACTCACGGAGCTGTACGACCGTACAAAGGCCGAAGAAAGGGTGCGGGAAGCGAACTTCCGGCGAATGCGTAAGAATAAACAGTTCCGCGATTTACTGTTGAATGGGGCTATTGCGCATCCCAGTTGCTGTCCGCGCAGCCAAGACGAACTACCAACCAGTTGCTCGGGAAATGCTGTTGAAACTAAAAAGGTATTCAACCTAGCTAAGTAATTCCGCTCTGATTGATGGGTCGATAAAGCATAGGATTTACTTTCAGATCTGCAAATTCAAATGAGACTTTGAAACATTCATCATTCACTTTTCAACATTGTTCGAATCATCGAAATTCTTGCTGGCAATAAAACCCCCCGAGTCCATTCCCAAAGCTCAACTCGTTTTCAATTCTCCACACAGTTGTGGCGGGCATGAATCAGTTCGAAGGTTGGCGGTTTAGATAGATTGTGTTGTTCATACAGCACAACAGTCAGATAGTGTGCAGCTGTGGAATATTTTCATACACACCCGCCTTGTCTGCTTGCCGGGCTCAGAAAGGATTGAAAAAGAATAATATACAGATGAGAAATGCCACAACAAATCCGAGCCATGGGATATTATGGGAGAAGTAATACGAACCAACTGCACTCAGTGCTTCAAACGCCAAACCGTTTTTAGTTTTTAAGTCTTGAGCAAAATTGCGTGTTTCACGACATGCGTACACGAAACGGGAGTTTTAATAGTGTAACATTCTTGCCTTTGATTTAGCATGGCAGTTTGCTACATGTTGCAGCTGGTTTTATATTTTGAGAACGGATGTGTTGCGGCAGTTGCATCGTTCCTAATGTTCAGCAAAAGGGTACAAGTCATGTGGATTCTTTGTCATGAGGTTAAATGTGCATTAATTTGTTCTTATTCAGGCCTGACGTTGGTGACGAGTGAGGTGAGGCGACTCTCTATCACTAGTAAGTCAATGAAGCCTTTTAGAAGTATTTTCAAGATTCGTGAAATGTGCAAAAACGAAAGATTCTAGAAGAATTTTTTAGCTACGCCCATGATTATCACTTGACAATCTGACGTCGACGATCTATTTAACATGAATTCTAAGAACTGAGTGACTAAATGTTTCCTTTTTTAATTTGCCTTTTTTTTTATCGACTGCTCTGTCCATGCACTTTCCTTAGATTGTGAACATCTTTTTTATGTAGTTTTTTTTTATGATCTTTTGTTTTCATTTTCTATATCTTACTCATGGTGAATTCATCTTTCCTTCCGAAAACTTTTACTGTTTTTGTAATGGGTGATTTTACGAATTCCCAGAAGTGGCTTGATTTATCTCGAGGCGTTGAAGTGTAAGTCTGTCTTGAAGTGTTCCACAAGCTTACGTAACGGCATTTTATCGGTTCCTCTGGATGGATATGTTTACACTCCTGCGCCTATCACAGGAAATCATTCTTGTTCGGGCGGCGTAGGAAATTTGCACTTGACTCAATTGCAGTGAAATCGAATATAAATTGATTGTGTTTGGCCGTGTCGTGTTGTTCGACGGAGTGACGATGTTGACAATCCCAATTGACCTAGTCATCATTCTCGGGGCGTTACTCGAGAATGTGCCATCACTTCTCGCCGTGTACGATAATGCAATTTCTGTTCTAATGGCAATTTGTTGTCGTTTTGCTTTCCCATTCCAGGTCGAACAGAAGTAATTCAATCATTCCTACCGAATCACGCTCCAGGCCTTCCGTCATCAGCGATGGGAGCGCCTCGAAGCAGTAGCATCAGTGGAAACGACGGCAAGGCCAATACCAAAGTGAAGCTCCAATCCTGCCATCCTCGAACCTCTCCGAAGACTACCGGAACCACCGACAGCAGTAGTTGTAGTCGAATCGCCATCACACGTAGCCATCACAAGAAACGCCATTCCTCCATCACCAGCACTGACATGATCTCATCAACGCAAAACTGGCGAAGCTCTAGTCCCCTATTGACTATGGGTGCCGCAATATTGCTCATCGTCGTTTTTTGCAGTAGCCAATGCACTAGTGTACAAGCAGCGGATTCGTTCATCCTGAAGATCCGCACGACTGAGTTTTCCAACATTAGCGAAACGCCAAACTTCCTTAGCTCAACTTCGTACAGTAGCCGCGGGATGGCACCGTTGTACAATCTGACCAACCTGGTGATCAAGCTGTTCGTCGGTACAGAGCCGGTGCCGGAAGGTAAGTTACTTGTACTTTCGCATTACTATAAGTCCACTTTGCTAAATAATCAATAATAATGAGATCAAACAAAAACGTGGAAAGCACACTTCCCTGCTAACCTACATCGTGAGGCAAATTTTCTTCGCCACTGGCTGCTCTGTGATGAATGGATGAATGGTGGAACGCCATCCCACCGCAAAACAAAAGAAAATTTCATGAATGGTGGCGCACGCGGTCATACACAAACTTACCAGCCGTCACAATAGAGCAGTGTGCAAAATGCTGTTCCTCCCAGCGATAAATATGGCACTTTAATAACATTTCCCCAACAAGAACTCCGTACTTGGTCCGGCATTACGAGCGGAAGATAAAGCAGAGTAGAGGCACATGCAAAAAAAACTAAGAGACCATGACGTCGTCGTCGTCGTCTTGGCCGTTGCCATTCCATCGTAAACAATTTAGATTTACCGTGTGAAAATTGGAACACTCGATTGTCCGTTGTTCAACACCACCCAGAGAGGAGGAGGGTCTGTTGGAGGGTTATTGGGAAATTAGGGCTATTGTTTGCTGAAGAATCGCTTGGCCACACGTTGATATCGGATCTCAAGTTGTAGGTAATTGGTGTAAATTTCGTTTCGCAAAATTGGTCAAAATATCACGAGACCGGACAATGAATGAATGGGTCGGGCGCTTATTGTTTCATTCACCGTTGTTGTTGTAGTTTGCAAGCTTGCGAGGAGCTTGGGTGATTTAATTTCCGTTGGAATCATTGTTTCACGGTACGAGCACGGCGAGGACGGATCAAACATATTGGATTACAAAATAAATGCCTTTCGTAGGAAGTTATGTTGGTGGACCATGACATGACGGACGACAGGTTTGGCACTGCTTTGAGATTAAAGCCATCAGCAGCATTTGAGGGGTGTCGGTTAGATTAAGGTAAACTGAAACTGTTTGATCGACCCTTATTGACTTTGATTAGGTTGCACGAGTGCCCGAGATTCTCTGCTGTAATTTTATCGGTTGTTGGAAATGTCATCATCGTCATCATTCGCTGATTGAAATGAAACCTCATCCCAACTGCCGATTGCCATCCGATATTGTTGAGACGGTTTTAATGCTGTAAATTTGTAGTTTTCCATGCAAAAGGACGCTTGATAGAGCATTGAAAAAAAAAATCGGCATTTTTGAAAACTTAATCAAATTCATAAGCATGGTCTTGCATTGTAGCTGTGCCTTTACCGACTGAGCTAAGGGAGGCCCTCACCTCTTGTATCACGAAGATTATTAATAATCACTTATTTTGAAGAAAAGTTCTAGTTTCAGACTGTACACAAATTTCAAAGTAGCAGAATCTTGGGAATCTTCTTAAATCAAATTTGTTATCCTTTCAGTAATATTTTTCTAGTATTGGTCTATTGGACGTGGGTATTAAATTTCATGAACCATGTTTAGTTTCATGTTGAGTGAGTTCCAACGTCAAAAGGTTTTACATATTTGTTTGTGTTTTACTTTGTACATCAGCGCGAGTACTGAAAGTTTAATATTTATGTTAGTATAGAATGGGGTGAAGACACATTTTCTTTATCCGATTTCCCTTACAATTTCCTATAATTCTCATCTGTATCAAATTCATTTTTTCTGAATCATGTTTTTGGATTCATTTGGAGCATTTGGCCTAGTGACCTTAATCTCTGTTACTCAATAAATTGTAGGGCTTTGAAATTATAAGATGTATCAAGCTTAAAAATATAATAAAAATTGATTTTCAAAGTATCTTGATAGATACTGAATACATTAAGTGACTCATAAAGTTGAATTTATACTTTGGGGCTGTTCATTAACTACGTAGACAGTTTTTTTTAATTCTTGACCTGCGGGGGGCCTGCGTAGACAATTGTCCATACAAACAATTTAAAATTTGAATGGGCCGTGGATAGTTGTCAACCCTTCCTGCCTAAACTGTCGACGTAGTTTATGAACAGCCCCTTTCAGCTTTAAAAAATACATTCTGTAATTTCTCTTTTTATGTTCCCCACAAATAACATCCGGAAATTTACAGTTGACTTTCTTTTTAAAAACACGTCCAATTTCGTTTTTTGTTGAATATTAACAACCAGGAAATTTTTAATATTTGAACCGGGAAAATACCGGAAATTTCAATATGAAAATTCACTGGCCACCCTGCTATGGTTGGTTGGTTGGTTGGTTGGTTGGTTGGTTGTCTTTATTAAGGAGATTTTCAGCCAGACGCTGGTTCATCTCCGCACCCTGCTATGGGAAAAGTGATGATTTTGTTCTCCTTGTTCTAGCCTTTTAACATAATGATACGGGCAAGCTTGCTATCTGCTCTGGTAAATCACCTTTTCGTGGTACGTTACGGTTTCAGATCTACCACCGAACCCTAGCCTTGACTACTGATGCACCGACCGGCTGAATACTTAGATCAACGTTTTGCTCAAAAACTTTATCGGCCACTTGTTAAGTCAGAAATGGTCAAATATCAGTTAACATTTTGGTGTGAAGGTCGAATACCTGGTCGATTAACACAATTTGGTTTATCACTAGTCTTGGCCTGGGCCTAACGAAGGCAAATCTAAGCCGGAACCTGCATCATTTTTTTTTTTTTTTTTTTTTTTTTTTTTAGTCACTTTAACATTCTTGGGTCATTTGTGACTTGTTCGGGGGTGAGATTTAAACTCGTGACGTTGGCGTGCGAGGTATGGATGTTAACCAATACGCCGGGGTCGCCCCACACCTGCATCATAAACTTCACCCCAGAATTGATAGTTTGCCTTTTTAATCTATTTTTAATTCTAACATGCAATTTCAAAGCTAAATTCGTACATAATAAAATCATTAACTTACAGGCTACAGAGGTATTTGTTTGTGTGCCAAACATACGATTGGAAAAATATTCGGGCAACTTTTTAAATATCTGTAAAAAGTGGCAAACTGTCACCCGTTTTACTTACTTACTTACTTACTTACTTACTTACTTACTTACTTACTTACTTACTTACTTACTTACTTACTTACTTACTTACTTACTTACTTACTTACTTACTTACTTACTTACTTACTTATTTACTTACTTACTTACTTACTTACTTACTTACTTACTTACTTACTTATTTACTTATTTACTTACTTACTTACTTACTTACTTACTTACTTACTTACTTACTTACTTACTTACTTACTTACTTACTTACTTACTTACTTACTTACTTACTTACTTACTTACTTACTTACTTACTTACTTACTTACTTACTTACTTGTACTTGTACTTGATGTCCTGCTGGATTCCAGTCCAGTGCTTGCTTGCAGATTTCGTTTCCGCTCCGTCGTAGTGTGTGGCCGACCCACCACAACTTCCGTTCACGAATTTCTGTCTCTATCGGCTTCTGATGGCACAAACGATGAAGCTCGGAATTTGAGATCCAATTGTGGGGCCACCAGGCACGAATTATGTACCGCAGGCATCGGTTGATAAACACCTGCAGCCTCTGAGTGTTCTCCGCTGATACACACCATGTTTCACTGGCGAATAGCAGCACAGACTTCACGTTCGAGTTAAAAATTCGGATTTTGGTGCGTCGACTGATCTGATTCGCTCTCCATACATTTCGCAAACTGGCAAAAGCAGCCCTCGCCTTCTTAATCCGTGCACCTATGTCGCTTTTGGTGCCGCCGTCCGACGCTATCTGGCTGCCAAGATATTGGAAGCTTTCGACTTTCTCCACTGCCTGCCCAGCTACCGTGAAATTGGAACGGTTTTCCGTGTTGACATCCAACGATTTGGTCTTGTTGACGTTGATGGTTAGACCTGCTTCAGAGGAGCGTTCCACAAGGTCGTCGAGCTTACTCTGCAGGTCAGAGCACCGTTGTGCTAATAACGCAACATCATCAGCCAAATCGAAGCCTGCGATTACCCGAACCGGGTCATACAAAGCTCCGTTGTGCAACACTCTGCATGAGAAAGCCTCGTACTGCGCTTCGATGAGGTTGACGATCTTATCAGGGACTCCATTGCGTCTCAGAGCGCCCCACAAGTTTTCGTGGTTTAGTCGGTCGAAAGCTTTTTCGTAGTCAATGAATACCAATTACAGGGACTCTTGGAACTCATTACCTGTTTCAGAGCGTGACAATATGGTCCACACAGGATCTTCCAGCACGGAATCCTGCCTGCTGTCGTTGGAGAGTCGCGTCGATCTTCTCCTGTATCCGATTGAGCATAACTTTACACAGAACTTTGAGAACAATACACAGTAACATGATGCCTCGCCAGTTGTCGCATACAGTTGGATCCCCCTTCTTGGGGACTTTTACCAAGACGCCCTGCATCCAGTCGGCCGGTAAAGTCGCGGTGTCCCAGATATTGACGAATAGTTGATGCAACATTTGTGAGGATAGCATGGGGTCAGTTTTGAGCATCATCTTCGACAAACGATCTCTTCACTGCTGGGTCTTCCAGTCGGCGTGTGTTGAATCGCCGCCCGAGTCTCTCCTCCCGCCGTTGAACCCGCGCAATGTGTAGGCGGATCTCACCGACCAGGAGATGATGGTCAGACGCGATGTTAGCATTGCGTTTATTCCGAACATCAAGAAGGGTCCGTTTCCATTTTTGGCTGATGCAGATATGGTCGATTCGGTTCTCTGTATATCCATCACGAGAGACCAATGTGTGACTTTATGCACTGGGCGATGGGGGAACAGCGAACCCCCAATCACCATGTCGTTGTCCGAGTTGTCGGAGCCGATCTTCGCATTGAAGTCGCCTGTGTAGATCTTGATATCACCTCTTGGAGTCTTATCCACGACAGCATTCAGTTGACTGTAAAAGTTCTCTTTGTCCTGCAATTCGGTAGCATCGGTTGGCGCATAACATTGGATTATGGTAAGGTTTCGGACCCGTGTTCTGAATCTGGCAACGATTATTCTCTCATTGATAGGTTTCCACTTGATAAGCGCAGCCTGTGTTTGGGCGCTAAGCAGAAAGCCAACTCCACGATGTCGCGGAGGGTTTTCACCTCGCATACCAGAATGTAAAAGTACCTGTCCCGAAGGCAGCTTGTGTTCTCCAAAGTTTGGCCAGCGGACTTCACTAAGTCCTAGGATTTCTAGCTTTATACGGCCGGCCTCACTGGCGAGTTGTGCCAGTTTACCCTGTTGGGCTAGCATCAGTACATTCCATGTTCCAATTATTGTCCGTTGTTTAGCGCTAAAAGTCGTTGCCATAAAATCAGTTTGTAATCTTTCACTACAGGTTTCTGCAACAATTTGAAGGTTTCGGAGACAGTAGGTGGTTGGTCTAAGGTCTCCTATCCGCCGTGATGGGACTGCCATCTTGGGTATAGCTTTCGGGGAGAAGCATTTCGTATTCAGCCGCTGGATGCCAGTCAGACGCTGTTTGAGCCGACCCTAACATGGAGAACAGACGCACGGGTTTTTGTATGTCACATCCTCCGAAAAGGATGCAGCTCCTCCTTCCCTGTCAGCATACGACCAAAGTTCCCATAGGGGTTGGTTACCCGATCTTCTCTAAGGTTACTTGTACCCCAGCTGGCGTCGCGGGGAGGAAGGGATATCAGTTACTGGGCAAGAGGCTAAGGACCACTTGCGTGACGGGTCTATTTTATAACCTTCAAGTACGCGAAGTACCGGTGGTACGTCATTTGCCAGCCCCTCCGTTTTACGGTACATTAAAAAGGATAGCTTTTGACGCAAGTGTCGCCAACGAGTTTAAGTTAAATGATGATCTATATGATACAAAATATACAACAAGTACAGCAATACATCACATAGACGCTCTTATTCGCACCAACTATTCCGGTTATAAATGGTACCCCAAAGTAAAGCCACTACAACCAATTGAAAATTGAACCAGGTGTCTGGAAAACTCAATAGGCTTGTTGGTTACTTGGGTAGCTTGAACCAATAGGTTGTTTGATCTAATGTCCTACCTAATTAGCATAATCCACACTTAATCTCTCTTTTTCGAACGGATATGCAACCAACAATGGAGTGATTTTACTATAGATGGCTTCCAAATTTATTTACCTTTATATATACGGTACGTTGGATTTGATAAAGAGTCGCAAAAATCTAACACTGCTTCTTGATTCCAAATTCGTTCTACGAGTTTCAATTCCGTAATAACGCATTGAAACGCCATTGTTTTTTCTAAGTTTTTATTCGTAGAAGGCAGAAAAATTTGATTTGCTACGAGCGCTTCTTGTGTAAATATTCGTACAACGCGCTCGTATAGGCTTTGTTCTGTAGTTTATGAGCTAAAGCATAGAAACAAACGTATTATTGATTTGTGCACGGTGAATTCATTGAAATTATTGATATTTTCTACCCGATAGAAGCGCTCTATCCTATACAACTATATTTGAATTCAGCTAGCAGTGTTAACTTTCCTGTGCAAAAGTAATCAAATCAAAATGATAAATGACTAACCCAGAAAACAAAGCGCATATCACAAAAACTCACATGAGTTTATTTGATATCTGTATAGTTTTGACTGTTCCAAGGATTTTTATGGATCTTTATGAAAGTTCAAATAATCCCGAGGTATACCCAAAAAAAAAAATAAATGCGAACTTTATTGGTATTTACGGACATCAAAGATTATTCCAGATTGCTTCAATTCTAGAGTTCATCAGGTAAAAATCAAGGTCAAATTCAGTCAACCAAACGTAACTATAATAAAGTGTATGAGTATATTTTGCATCATCAAATCAGGTATAAATCAAGAGGATCACGGAAACGAATCCAATCAAAGGAAAGTCCAATTCGCTTATATAACAAAATCATAGACTTCCATGAAAATGGTATTTTTTTTGTTGTTGTCCCATGTTTCGGTCCGTTTGGGTCCTTCTTCAGGGACTCTAAATGTTTAATTTGGTAAAAATAGAATGTACCCAGTACTAAAAAGTGAGCAACCAAGTGTGCTAAAAACGGTGTGAACATTTTGTGGAGCGACAACAATTTTCTGCTGTTAGTCTAATTGGGAGGGATCCACAATAATTTTTGAATTTTTTTTACCAACAGTTACAGTTTTGACGTTCAGAGTAACTCTTTTCAAGATATTCCCAGTCTCAAATACAGTAAACGAGTCACCATTGTTTCTCCTTTGTTTTCCATTTTCCTAAAAATAAATTTCTTAGAAGACCAAAACACTTTCAAAAGTTAAATAGCACATCCTTTTTTCAACACACATTTATTCCCTGCCGATGAGTACCAGTTATTTACTCAATCAATTGGGCCATTGAGAATAAATCCTGCAGATTTAAAATGAGCTGAGTTGTAACAACTTTACGCAAACAAGGCCAACAAGAAAAATCACCATTTTATCGTTTTATTAGCTGATGAACTCTTTGCTATGCAATGAATTCAAACTCTTTTCCATACATTGTTAATTTCCGTAGAGCGAAGCGGGCAGACCACGTCGTATTATATGTAAATTCATTCATTGCCTTCCATACTCTTCCCCCCTTGGCAATAATTCTGGTGCGTTAGCCAGACAATGCTCTCGGTCCAACTAGACTGTTTAGGGTTGGCCACTTTACACTTTATATTCGCGCATACATAGATCTAAGCGATTTCATATTCCAATTATGCACCCTAGCTATGAACGACGTGACCATTTGTGTTTTTCTGGACAGACCGAGGGTTGTGACACCACACACACACACTGAACAAATTGCAAAATTTCTGCGGTTCAACCCGTTACTCAATTCCCGAAGTTTGATTCATCTCACTGGAATACATTATGTAGTACCTATAAATGGATGCCGACAATTGGATCACCGCCAACACGAGTGAAAACGTAGATATGTGAATAAAGAACAGACACGTCCTTGCTGGCAAACACGATTTGCTGCGACTTGCTGTAAACCGCGAGGATTATCCTTTTCCCTTAATGATATCCTTGTTCGTTGAATGTCACAAAATTGGAGAGAGAAATATTGACTAAAGAAGAAGAAGAAGCTGTAAATCGACCTTATCGTTTCCCCCCAACTTTTCGACTGCGGCTGTATTCGCATTACTGAATAGGAGGATTAGCGATACAAGGGTGGCAAAGGGTAGTGGGGATTTATTCAATTTGGTATGATTTATCATCGCGTCTATCAACTCGTCTTCCGAGTTGTTAGTTATTGATTGAGCAAAGTATGTCTGAGTTGGATTGAAAATATTGCTTTTACGTCAATTATAGGTTATCTAATCGTCCGGGAAGGAGCCATCGACGCGGGACCAAATGTACAGGAAAACAACTGGGGACCACTCCTGAAGGAGTACTGGGCCGTCCTTTTGGTGACGGTCATCTGCGTCCTGCTCATCGCCCTAATGCCCATCATCGGCCTGTGCCTGTGCTGCTGTCGGTGCTTTGGCGGATGCGGTGGTCGTTCGCAACCGTTCGATAAGAAACATGATACCTGCCGGCGGGTGGTGCTGGGTTTGCTGCTGATTTGTACCACGTCTTCACTGGTGTAAGTATAGTCTGGATTTCGTGTAGTTATAGATATATGGGCGCTTGACCTGGTTTACCGTGGCTTTCTTCTGAGTCCCTGCAACAGTCTCGAAGTATCTGCATAAAAACAATGTTCACACAGTTTTGAATTAGAAAGGAAAAGTAGTTTTTCTAATTTCTAAGGCTTCACCGCCGACCGTCTTGGGTGTAATTCTAAAGCTGTCGCTTTGCATTCGAAACTAAATCTTACCTTTTCTGCTTCCCTTTCTACCATCAGGTTCGGCGTGGTTATTGCTTACGCCACCAACAGCTACATACAGCAAGGTGTGGAGAACATCACCACCTCGGCACGGTACGGCGTCGACGATACACGTGAATTCCTGCAGTCGACTTCGCGTCAAATTTCCCAACTCCTGGACGTCAACTATCAGGAACTGAACACCGAACTGAAGAAAACGTTGAACGAAGCTTCAGATATCATCATCCAACGACTAGAAGAGGAGTCCAAGGCAGAAAAGCTCAACACGCTGAATGCCTTTGTCGAGCAGCTTCCGGCCATCAAAAACAATCTGGATCGAATGACACTGCTGACGCGGGAACTGCGGGTCAATGCTTCCCAGCTGAACGATGGTATGTGGTTTTTGTGGTTTGTTTCTTTGACCAGTTCTCGGTTTCACTTTTACGGTTCATAACAGGATTACGTGGCGTTAAGCGTGAACTCTTAGCCTCGTTGACCAAATGTGGCACCCAGGAGTGTATCGACGTGATGGCGGACTACAAAATCGGCCGGTTGGATATCAATGGAATCGACTACAATTCGGTAAGTGGTCTCTAACTTCCTCTCAACAGACATCCCTTGAAAGTCCTTGTTCTAATCATACCATCAATTTGTTCTTGTCTTTCATGCTGCCAAAAAAAACCCTTGCTCCTAATTGAATCCAAAATCGTTTATCTGTATTTGTGTCTAATCATTCCCATCTCGTTCGACCGAATAACACAATCCTTCACACAAAATCCGAACGAAATAAAAAAAAAATCCAACCACACATAGATACAGGACAGATACTTCCCACGGGTAGGTTCCGTTCACTGACTATGCAAACAAAGGATGATGGCATAAAATAAAAAAAAAGTTCATCTATCGTGTGTTCTCCTCGTTGTCTTTAGTGTTAGCTATGATGTTATTGTTGTATTGCCTGGTTCTGGTGTTTTTATTTTTTCTTTTCGTTCAATAAACCCACTTTTTAAAAGGATTTTGTCCTCTACTCTCAGAGGTAGACTACCACTGTGTGCTTGTATGCATCCCGATTCGACGCTGCAGACTAACGCGTGTTGGATGTTGTACATATTATGCAAGTAGGGTATCCCGAAGGAGATGTCATGTCAAAATTCCTGAAACTCGTCAAGAAATTATGAACTTCAATCAAAGTCTAAAAATCATTGATCAGGGTGTCGACTACTAATGAATTGCAGATGGAATAAATGTAAGCATGCATACATTCATTCATCCTCTGTAGATATTTCTTGTGAGCATTGTAATGGAAGTTCTTGTAACAGCCTGTAGTGAGCAAGCAACGTTGCCCAGAGTAAATTTTATTTTATAACATCTTCTTTTGTTAATTTTCTATGATTAATGTGTTGGCGGGAATGTATTTAGTTCATAAAATAAGCATAAGTCTTCCGATGACCTTATTACATAATATGTTTTTGGGGTGATTCCTTTGATAGTCGGTTCAATTTTTATAGAAAACTGAACCAGAAAAAAAAACTGAAAAATTAGGGTATTTTAGGGAACTAAGTTTTTGAGCTGAACTCAGAGATTCTCAGGGAATCTCTTCTTTGAAATTCAGGAAAGCATTTCTAATCATTAAGGTTTAAGGTATGACTGATGTCACTAGTCTTGTTCAATTTAATTACTCGATATAGTTTGAGTAAATTTATAAATAAATCAAATTTTAAATAGAGTTGCGAGCATCTGGTTGCTCAACTACTTGATGTGTCAATTTTGCAGCAGAAAATGTAAGCAAAAAATTACTCAAAGAAAGAGTATTTTGAGCATGCTTGGCATGCACAGTTTTACGCACCAACTACTCATTTGTTAATAACTTGTCACTCAGTTGTAGAAATTTGTTTTTCTTTAAAGTAATTGATAGATTAAGATCATCGTTTACTATAGATATGCCAAGAGTAGGTAAATCTTAACATTTGAGTCAACACCAATGATTTTTTACACTTAAAGTCCGAGATGTGCAGCAGGCATTTCTCACTTCATTTTTACAACGCATAAACATATACAGATTATTACTAAAATTAAAATTGCCTTTTTTTAAAGTATCTATAACAAGCTTAAACTCTATTATATTTACTGCTTCAAAAAGAACTATGTTTCGTCAACTATGTGCAAAGTTATTAGCAAATGAGCAGTTCGTGGTCAAAACTGTGATTTTGAGGATGCTGGGCCTAGATGATAAAAAATATGCAATTCCCACTGCACAGTGAGCCAGGAATGCAGCTGTACATAATTAATAACTCTAAAACTAAGCATTTCCGAGACTAGGTACCTTCAGCAAACTTTCTTATTATTATGACTTACCATCAGTCTTGTAAGCGGTCACGGTAGTCGACACATTTTCTGTGATAATCGACTGCTTTTGCCTCCGACATTTGGTAACAAGCTATCATAGTACAGTACCAAACTCAAATGTCATACGACAGGCTCTGTCATATGACCCTGTCGCCGAAGACCGTCACGAATGTATGTATTTTAGTTTTTCTCATAATAAGAGCTGTTGATGTTGTGCTTGTGTGAATTCTGAAAATAGCAAGCAATGATGTCCTAGCAATAACATATCTGATCAGAAATGGTTTAATTTACACCAAATTGAGGAATTAGAACGAAATTACTCATGTCATATGATAGTTATTTGATAATTTTCTTTTCTCTCGAATGTTATTCTACCGGTTGTGTTGTGTGAGAGAGACGACGGTAGAGCATGAGTGTAGGAATAAAAACAAACTGTCGCGCACGACAACGAAGCGAGTGTAGTAAAAAACGTCAACAGTTTCAACCCCTGCTTACCATCTATATATTTCCGCGGCTTGATGCCTTCATCAAAGTTTCTCATTATAATAAGAATTATCTATTGACATACTCTTCTTTTTTGATTCCCTTACTGGGATCTTCCGCTGGCTGTCTTTTTTGTGTTCTTTGAGCACACCCATAGTTTTTAATTGAGAGCTTTCTAAGCCTGTACTATTTTTACATTAGTATTACTGTGGGCAAGTACCCTCAACCCGAAAAATTCCTAGACCGGGCCGGGAATCGAATCCAGCCGCCTCTATCATGGTCTTGCTTTATAGCTGCGCCTGTACCTACTGAGCTAAAGGAGGTCCCAACATGTCATAAATAGATAGTTCATAACTCATTCGCAAAGATGGTGCCAAAATCTAACTTTATTCTCTGACGTTTTAAATAATTGACGGCTTCGACAAAGTTGTTTATCTTTCAAAAATAAACAGCTCTTCTGAATATAGGGGAACAAGGGGCAAGTGTGCCACCTTAAGCGTTTTCAATCTGAAAATATTCATTTTGTTTAAAAAATATGTATCAGCAGCTGGTACGTTTATTTTTATGTCCATGGTTATTTACTATTGATTCATTACGATTAAAAATACAACAACATGTAAAATTTATACTTGGTGGTAACTTTTTCAGCAGTTTTTTTTTTTAGTACGGTGCAAGAGTGCCATATGTACAGGGCAAAAGTGCTCACCTGCACAAATTAACAGAATTTGAAGGAAAGCTGAATCTGAGCATTTTTAAACCACGCGGAACTTCTCGAGAAACAGATTTATGGTTTGAAAATCAACGTATATTTGTATTATTTAAATTTTTGTCATTTGAACATTACCAATCATATCGCGATATCGCGGTAGTTACAGATATTCAAATTAGGCAAAACGGACAATCATATCCGTTACATGTGTGGGAACCATGTGTTGCAATTCATGCACTTATTCCAGTTTTCACCGTTATCCGATAGCTTGAAGCTTAGTCCACATCGATCACAAAGGGTGTCCTGCGGAGAGTTAATAATGGGCGCATTCTAAGGATGTTCTAGGCTTATTGTCGTCATCCGGTTTTCGATGATCCACTTCGATCAACAGAACGTCGGTCACAAATGATGGAGCGAAATTCTCTTCCGTAAAGACATTTCGATTCAGTGGTACGATTCCGGTTTTCCTAAATCCATTTACGGCAACCGCTGGGGTTGCTGCTTGAATGTAGGCCTTACCAAACAAAGCACATACATCATTTAGGGAGACAACCTTCCCAGGGTTGCTTCTCAGGAATAGTTCTTGAGCCTTCGACAAGAAAGTCTTTAGAGGTCCCATATAACTTACATCCAGTGGTTAAAGCTTATCAGAGCAGTGAGGGGGAAAAGAAATGACAGTCACATTGTTGTTTCTCGCTTTTTCCACAAAGGCCAAATTTTTTGTGTGGGTGCTGTGACCATCTAGAAGAAGCAGGACAGGACTCGAAGCAGTTGGCCTTGTATGACCAAGAAAATGGTCAAACCATATGATGAATTCGTCCGTCGTCATCCAGCCACTTCCGTTACAGCTGAATAAAGTTTCAGCAGGTGCGTCTTGTTTCAGCTGTTCCGTTAATCAAGATGAGGAAGGGTGGTATAAAATGACCAGTTGCTGACATGCAAATGCATGCGGTCGTTAGCACCCCTCGTTCAGCTGATGTAAGAAAGCCTACCCTTTCAAAGCCAACACTTTTGATTTTTTTGTTTGAACCTGTAACGTGAAATTCCATTAGACAAAACGTAAACTGAATATAAAAATTATAACTTACGGTTAAATTGGAAGTCTCATCGACGTTGTAGATGCGACTTGCGTTGAAGTTTTTGGTGACATTCGCTTCCTCCAGGATGTCAAAGAACTTTCCTACGGCTACTTTATTGAAGCCTTGCGCTCCTACTGCTGATATAGCTTCCGGTGCCCGTAGAGTCAGTTCATTGTGACGATTTGGAAAACCGCACAGCCAATCTACTCCTGCCATCTTCGTCGCTTGATTGAATGGATAGTTCAAATTGTTTTTTTTTTTCGACCAATTCATAAGCCAAACTTCGAATATCATGTGTTGAGAGCCCGAAGAACCTTTTTTCCATCTCGAGAATATGCTCTACAAGCTCTTCCTCCTGCTTTGCTGAAAACACTGAACACTGTATCGAACCTCCCCATTCTTGATTGCATTTCGAACGCTTCAATCGCCTGCAGGCCAGTGACAAGGCCTATACTAACAGCAGCGTTTGACAGTAGGCAGCATGTCCACTGTATGACATGTTGCCTACGTGCCTCCCACTGGACTGATCGCCTGCGACAAGTATTTGGCAAGAGTTCTACGTGGAACTCGATATTCTAATTCTGCTCGCCTCACCGACAATCTTTGAATATGCACGGCTTCCACTGCGGCAATCACACTGGTGGATTGCCACCGATTCCGTGAAGAAATCCGCTTATATCTTCGAACCATATCTGAAACCGCACTTCACTGTTTACATTTTTGACTGATGATAGTTTGAGCACCGACAAACCGACATGAAACTTAAACTTAACTCTTGATCGAGAATCCATAACGGCGGATTCAAATGTGTAGCGATCCCATCTGTCAAAACCATAGAAATTTGTTATCTAGATAAGAATAATTTGCCCGAAATAGATTAGACACGAACCAACTCATACATTTAGGATACACATTTTTCGCGAACACGGCGGCAGATGTCAGTTTTGCGATCTGATCAGAAATTTGACGGTATCTTGTATGGTCATTCATGTCGGTTTGTCGGTGGTTTAAGGTTAGGTTGACAATTGCATTGGTAGTTTTACCCCAGAAAAATCGATTCTTTTGCCCCGTTGGAGTGATCGGTAAACAATATGTATTTTCATGTTATTTTTTTTTTAATTTTATGTCAAAACTGTAACTGAAGATCAACAACAGTACATCAAAAATTTTCATTTCTTCTTGTGTGTTATTTAAATGAAGCAAAACAACTATAAATCAGT